TACAAGAGATGCTCATGTGTACTGGTACAATATCCTGTATATAGAACAGACATAGCATCTTTGGAGGACCATTGAAATGGAATTGGACGAAATGAAATGTGTGAACAACATAACTATTTGAACTAATTTAAAACAACCCTTACACATACCATTCCGAAGTCTATTAAAAATTTCATGTCAATCGGGCTGACTTGGGTTCTTTGGTGTACCATTTGTATGAAATCGAGCCTTATTATGTATGGAAGCTATAACTAAATCAGGAAGTATTCGAGCAATCATGGCATCCACCATATTGTATGCTGCAATACAGTACGCTGCCCAAAATTTAACTCGATCGATGAACCATTTACATAAAATCGGACAAAACTATGTATGGAGGCTATATCTAAATATGAACCGATTTCAACAAAACTTCAAGTGTCTTAATCAGCTCCAATTACGCTGTGCACAATTGTACAATTTACATAAAATTGGACGGAACTATATATGGGAGCTATATCTAAATCCGAACCGATTTCAACAAAACTTCACACACATATATCTGGATCTAACTCAGTACTCTGCGCAAAATGTTGGCTCAATCGGACCAATATTGACAGTTGGTGTCCCATTTACATAAAATCGGACGAAACTATATACAGGAACTTTATCTTTATCCGGATCTATCAAAACTTCGCATATATCAATAAGAACCTAATTCACTACTCTGTGCAAAACTTTGTCTCAATCCGGCCAATATTGGCAGTATGGTGTTCCATTTACATAAAATCGGACGAGACTATATACAGGATCTTTATCTTAATCTGAACCGATTCTATCAAAACTTGGGATACATCAAACTGGACCTAATTTAGTACGCTGTACAAAATTTTACAGATGATAAAAACCCCATCATGTTGTTCAAGGTTCATGTTTACCCTACGCAAAATATCCTCCAATATTAAAATAAATTCTGCCTATTGGTATTTTATCCTCCCTAAAATAGGTCCGTATAACCACATCGCTTGAAAAATAAAGCTAGAACAATAAAAATTCTTAAAATGCGAAGGTAATATTTAAAATGGGCGCATACTTTGGGAATTGGCTATGGACATTCAAAATCTAGCGGGAGCTATGGGAGCTATGTCCAAAAATAGACCAATAATAATCATTTGTTCACCACTTCTGCTGAAAACTTCTAAATATCGTAATATGCAAATTTTCAGTTCTACTCTGATATAATTTTTATTCTAATTAGGCTTTTCCATATAGGTCAATAATTTCCACTCACCAATTTCTCTCGTAAATATTCCAAATCACCATACAAATGCATATTATCTCTAAAGGTTTTTCCAGCATTCAGACGATGTTCTACAAACTCATCCTTCTCCGCCACCACACACTGGTCGTACATTTTGGGGAATTCCTCCACCGATTCAACATAACGTGCTGATGCAGCATGAAATTGTGCCAATTTTTCAAGTACTGCCTTTGTGTGTGCGATATCAAGACCCAAATGCCGATTGGCATTTTTAAAATCATGCAAACGTAAATCTTCCATAATAAGTAAATAATCGTTATGGGTGGCATTTTTCAATTCCAGTAATTTTGGAGCAAACCGCACAGTCTTCCCCACATTCGAATAGAATTCTTCAATTGGGTATATATTGGAATAGGTTGCCTGCTCCTTTTCAAATATTTGCCATTCTTTGATCATATTTTCCATTTGTTGAGTGTTGGGTTTTATTTTCACCATATAGGATGTGGATTTGGTGCTCAGTCAGGGCAATTCAACTTCTAAATGTATTCTTAATAAGGTGGTCATAAAATTTTCACCTGCAGCCACTGCCCGCTTAACATCAAAGTTGGTAATTTTTGTATAATTTGGATAATCATTTTTTAAGAAATCACTAAACAATTCTGGTGTTAACCATTCCGGTTTATCTGGAAAGTCGCCATTGTTGTTGTTATTTTGTTCTTTATGCTGCGTATCACCATTTGAATTTTGAACCATTTTGGTATTGTTGTTGTTCGGTTTTAGTATTTTAAATTGATTGTTTGTTGTTTTTTGTCCGCGTTGAATATTTAAGCGCAACGTTCGAAAAGCTACTGAGACTTGATATAGATTTTGTTTAAGAACATTGCGCAAATTATGATTTGCTATTGCGCTGTATCATGAATGCGTCGCAATGCCAAAATGATTAATTCCAATAAGAGAAAAATGTAAAATTGAATGATAAATGTTTTGTGTCTCTATATTACATGTAGATATGGAAGATTTTATGTGGAGGGTAATTATGTCGACGATACGATTATCAAAGATTATAAAACACATGGAGTTTTAAATAAAAAAATAAAAAAAAATATTTTCTAGAACTAACATAATGGTAAATTAAAACCAGTAAGGAAAATAGTAAAGTCGGACTGGGCCGACTATATGATACCCTTCACCACTTTGGAATATTCTACATATGTATTCTAAAACCAGTGAGCGGAGCAGTATAGTCGGAGGGGGCCGGCCATATGATACCCTACACAACTTCCACGAACATCTAACTTTCTGTGGTACCACATTCTGAGCTTGGGCAATATTTCGCAATGTATGCATCCTCATGACCCACCAGAGGTCCACAAATATTACTAATATTCAGTACAGTCCTTATAATTACTTGTCCAGATTCCCTTCAACGTGGGTTGTTTTGTGATGTTCGGCTTTCAATTGTGGCCTGTAGATCGACTCGAAAAAAACGTTATCGGTCCACATTATTCCATCATCACCGAAAATTATCATCACGAAAATTATAGGCGTTGTCCTTGACCATACCTCGATACTAGTGAAAGCGATGAGCGCTATATTTCCATATTTCCGCCCTCTACTGTGGTGATGGGCTACTAAATAATATCTGAGTACGTAAGCACCTGTAAACATTTAAGTGTAACACCCACAACCGAGTACATACGACAGTAAAATTGGTATCAGTTTAAAGGTCAACCACTCCTCATGGATATACTATCAACTTCTCAGGTCTATGTCCTTCAGTGGTAAATCTATACGCTATAGGATACAAATTTTGTCATTTTTCACACAAAAGTCAGGGTCCATTTGACCCGCTAAATATTGACCGATCTTTATCGAAACAGGCATGCTTATTCTTTGGCTCCATGCAAAAATTTCCGGTGTTTGGGCCATAATTGCGGCCTCTGGAGCGACCAGAAAAACCGAAAAAATAAAGTTTTTGGTTCATTCCATCCCCTAAATATTAACAGATCTTTTCCAAAAACAATAGGGGTCTTCATTGACCAGAACCCATTCTACATGCCAAATTTCGTGAAGATTGGTCCATAACTGTGGCCTGCATCGTGTTTACAAATTATAATGGACAGACGGACGGACGGACACACATGTCTAGATCGACTCAGCTAGTCGATATATGTCGATCGGTATACTTAAAGGTGGGTCTAGGACCAATATGTCGCGGCGTTACAAACATTGGGGGCTGCACAAAGCTATAATACCCTGACAACATAGTTGTGTAGGGTATAATGAATAAGTAAAAATTATATATGGAAGCTATGCTATATCTATATCTGAACCGATTTCAAGGAAACTTCCCAGCGATTAATTTATATTAATTTGAGTACGTTGTATCAATCGGCCTAGCTATGGATCTTAAGTGCACCATTTACTTAAATTGGACGAAAATATATATGGGAGCTATATCTAAATCTGAACCGATTTTTACGAAACTTAGCACACACTCCGGGCCCCCAGGGCCGCCCCCCTGCGTACGTCCCTGATAGGGGCTATATCTAAATCTGAACCGATTTCCTCCAATTTCAATAGGGCTCGTCCCAGGGTCAAATAAGTGACTTGTGCCAAATTTCATTCAAATCGGATTATAAATGCGACCTGTACTTTGTTTACAAAAATACATGGACGGACAGACATGCGTAAATCGACTCAGAAAGTGATTCCATGCATATTCTCAAAAGGAACCATGTGTCTATCTCGTTTCCTTTTGCCTGTTACAAACATATGCACAAAGACATAATACCCTGTACCGCAGTGTGGTGAAGGGTATAAAAATGCCTTGATATTATCAATTAATATTTGTTCATGGATTTGAAGAATATTTTTTCAACGATCAATTTCTTTTAGTATTGAAAGTAGCACGGGCTTTTGATAGAGTATTTATTCGTATGGTTTTTTTAAAGAATATGTTTTCAAGAAGTAATTTAAGCTTAGATGGCTTAATAAATATTCGTTGAAGTATTAAAATAAATCTGAATGGTCAATATATCGGACCATATTCACCAAAAACAAGTTTTGTTTTATACTATAGTACTAAATTTCAAAATAATAGCTTTATTAAATCTGAATTTATTTAAAACAAAACTTCTCCTGTAAAATTTCAAATTTGAGGGTTACATTTTTTTTTTTTGGCGAATAGGGCTCGATATACATACCCGCCCATCTGTCCATTTACTTTTGAAAACAAAGTACAGGTCACATTTAAAATCCGAATTGGATGAAATGTGTGACAATTATTCAAATTCTGCAGTTAATCAATTTGGCATGTCAACCACTCACCTAGCTTTCTTCATAATTCGAATTTTTGGCAATTGTTTGTCGCTGTATTCTATTGCTTTGGTCAATTAACCATATATAGTATAAAATAAGAATAATTATAATTATATTAAGCTGCTATTCAAGTATTTTTAATCACAAACAACAAACATGATACAAATAATAAAAATATGTCTGCTAACAAATATATACAAATGCATAATTAATTTTAATTTAAACATATCATTGTACACCTGACCTTCATTTTGGAGACAAAACGAATATTGTGTTGATGCATTCTGTTTATAATGGTTCAAAAATGTATTTATTAGATCCCACACAATATACACACATACATACTATGTATGAATATGAATGCACAGCTATTGTCAAACAAATTGTACACAAAGGAAATACAAGCAAATGCACATATGCATACATACATTATTATATTATAATATGAATGCTTTATTTGGTTATAAAAACTTAGGAATTTCATTTTTAAGTTGAATGACCGCATTATTTTCAAATTTATATACAATTCAAATATTTTGAAGTGCATCTTTTTTTTATATATATGTATATATACATAAATATGCCTCTCTCTCATAGAAGTCTTGCAAAAAACATACCAAGTTTGAGAAGCCCTTCAGCCGTCACTTGATGCTGACACAATAAATCGGCTATATCTTCAAGAGTTTCACTTGAAATGCCTTAAAACTTCCCGATGTTTCTGGTGGCCTAGCCCAATTGGTGTGGCACCCAAACATCGAGCATCTATTTGAATCCAGCTTTCTGTAAACGGTTCCCAACGCATATAAAGTGCGATGTGAAGTGAAGCCTATGGGCGATGACATTATTGGACCATACCAAATCCTTGAAAAGACCCACGAAAACACATCGACACACTTCACCTATTCGTCGACTATAAAGCCGCATTCGACAGGCTAATCCGCTCAAAGGTGTTTAATGTAATGTCTGAGTTCGGCATCAGCCGTTAAAGTCGGAAATAACCTCTCGGATCCTTACATACCGAACGAGGATTGAGACAAGGTGACAGTTTGTCGTGTGATCTTTTTATCATCCTGCTTGTAAAGGTCATACGAGATGCTAATGTGAACAGAAATGGCACACTAAACTCGCCAACGTCAACGACAGATTTGAACGAATTGATAAGGAGTCTGCCAAAGTGGGACTGGCAGTAAATGGCGAGATGACCAAGCTGATGGAATCAACACGCAATACGTCCAGTAGACTTGGACCAATAGTGGAACAGCTTCGAGCAATTAACAAAAAAAGAATAGTGTTGCCAACAGATGCAACTATGATCTAAGTAAGCAACAAGACACTGATACTACCCGTATGGATCTGAAGCATGGAAAATTCTCCAAAATATCTATGGGCCAAACTGCGTCGACGCTGAATATCGCCGTTTAATGAACCATGAGTTGTATCATGAGTTGTATTCTCGGACATCGACATAGTCAGACATATCGAGCTTCAGCGAATATGTTGGCTAGGCCATATTGTGAGGATGTCCCAGCTCAAAAGGGGAAGGCCATAAATTCGATGGACAGATCAAGTGGAAGATAACATGGTCTCTCAAATTGGAAAAGCTGCGCACAAGACAGAAGCACCTGGAAATCTTTTTTAAGCTCGACTCATGGAACAAATGATCAGTCTCAAGCCAGTTAAGTATGTAAATAGTATGAGCTTTTACATCATTTAATTTAAACTTAATTTTTGACCACTGCCTGATAGTTCTCGAGTTGATTTCCATCAAAGTGCTCGCTGCACTTCTCCAAATAAAGCGTGCTTAGCAAAAAATCCTTCAGCAGTACACATATGCGTTATAAACTTGTTAAATAATTAACTGTCGCAAAAGTAGCTACGGCAACATCAACAAAAATTAAAATTTGAATGAAAAAGAACCCGAAGTTCCACAGAAAAAAATCGTAAAATATATGAATAGTGTTCAGAAAGTGTTGTGTAAAAGAGTTTTATAAAAAAAAATCGACTAGGCGGATCATAAATATACTTTTCAAATATCTAAATTTCTTTCAATATATTAATTAGTTTTATTTGTATAAATGTAACACTAGGATAATATCATATAATACTAGCATGCAATTTCTACATACATAAGTACACAAATACTAGTTTTAGGAACATCATAAATCAAAAGCTCC